AAGTATATTTTTATTCCATATATATATCAAAGGAATAAATTGAATACATCTAAAAAAAATCCAGTAAAAATGTAAGTTTTTAATACCTGATTTTTTGTAATTTCAGTCTGATATTAAAAGCTTACCTTCTGAAATAAATATATTACCGGATTTTCCGAGATGTATTTCTTTTCCTTTGATGTATATCATATTGCTCTATATACAATACATTGAGCTCTCTTCATAGATCTATCTTTTTAATATTTTATAATAAAAAAGACCTAATTGGATTATCTTTCCATTTATGTATTTTTAAAATCGGTCCTCATCCATAATGGGGACCAACGGATTAAAAATACTAATGACAATTTTGACATCACCATGGGATCTTTAGACCCTGCAGAGTCTTCTGGCCTTGTCGGTCTATTTATACTGTACAATCTAACTGTGCACCGTGAATTAGACATTAAGGACATCGGGCTATACAGAGATGACCGTCTCATGGTAGTGAGGAGCTCCACAAATTTTAAAATAGATAAAATTAGAAAGGTAATATACAGTGAATTCAGAAAACTAAATTTAAAAGCTATAGACAACACTAAATTAAAAAGGGTAAACTTCCTCGACGTAACTCTAGACTTAATGAACAACATATACTGGTATACCCCTCCGTTCAACGAAATGGTTAGTACTAAGCTAGGACATAAGTTCCTAGCTTTAATAGAAAAACACTTCCCTACTAAAAGCCGACTTAGCGAGATGTTTAATAAAAACACCTTAAAATTAAGTTACAGTTGCACTGAAAATCTAGAAATATTCATAAAAAAAAACATAATAATAAAATCCTGGAAACACACGCGCGTCAAAACAGTATTAATAAAAATCCTAAACTAAAATCAGACAAAAATAATGAAAAATTATGTGATTGTAGAAACCCTGAAGGCTGCCCGTTGGAGAATAAATGCCTCATAAAATCCGTAGTATACAATTCATTGAGAGTTCTAACACCGATAGGATATACACTGGGTCAACGAAGAATGAATTTAAAATTAGGTGGAGGCAGCATAAAGCTCCTTCAATAATATTTGAAATAGAAATCAGACATCTCTATCCAAATATTTTTGGCATTTAAAAGAAATGAATAAAACACCAAAAGTAAAATGGAAAATAATAAATAGAACAAGAACTTGTAAAATCTGGGATGACCCATGCCCTTTATGCCTACATAAAAACTACACATTATTAAGGTTTTAAATAATGAACATTTATTAAACCATAGACATGAGTTAACCGCTTTTTGCCGACATCAACCAAATTTCGCATTAAATAATTAGCATAAAAAAAATCAAATTTCATAGTTTAATAAAGGGCTAAAAAGCTTAACCCAGTCTTTAAAGAGAAAAACCCTTTATGAAGTCGTCAAAAAATCAAAAAAACAAATTGTAGTTCAGTGCGACGCATTTATATATGAAACAGCCCGTTGAAAATAAATAAATAAACAACTAAAATAAAAAAAAAATTATCCAGACACTTAACAACATACTATGGTGCCAAAATCTATCTTTCTCTGTGAATGAACAGACGATGCGCGTACAAGAAAGACATCATTCGCTTTGAAATAGGCACCCCACCCTACCTCAGCTTGACCTCTCCCTGAAGGTGACTGATATGGGGATAAAAATGGTCGCCCCAGCCGTTACCATAGTAACGAATGAACACGCTTATGACGATACGTAAATTTCAAAATTGGATATTCCTAAATTTTCGCTTGAGGATGAAACAGGGCTTGTTACTTTAATTCAATTTAATTTTAATAATTATATTGATGGTTTCGGCTCTCGTTTTTGAAACATGAGAACTCTTATGTAGCGAAGGAATCATATTTTCAAAAAAATAATTATAATCTAAGCTCTACATTTGTATGGAGCACTGTTTTTTTAAAAATAAAAACAATTAAGAACCTTGGATTATTTACCTAACGTGTTCTTTCCTATTTTTCTACATACCTGCACACACACACACACACACACACACACACACATATATATATATATATATATATATAAAATCTCAACAGATGAAATCTACGTTTCACGTTATTATCTTTGATTTGCTATGACATTTTCAGGAAGAAAGACGAGTTGTTTTTTTTCACGGTTTGAAATCCATCCAGATTTTTTTCTACTGTCAATGCAACAGCGCCAAGTCTACCCTATTATTTACACCATAGCTCCAGAAAAGATGAATTCATACCTTTTCCTAAATGAACTTCAGCCGTAACAGACGCTGCAAGCTCGGCCTCAGTTTGAACTCGGTTCGTTAATTTCATCTTTCGCGTCGATAACCACTATGCTAGCCGCAGATACAAGCTGTTGCCTCGAACCAATGATAATAATAATAAAAAAATATAAAAAAATATATATAATAAATATTTATTTTCAAAATAAATGTCTTCCTTTCCAATGCACTTAATTCAATGGTGTCATTTATCATCTCCCTGTATTTCCTTCTTTCAATACAA